TCTGTAAGACTCCTGGAAGTAGTGCAAGTTCGAGAACAAGTTGAACCCTTTTCACTGCTCGTGGAGAAGCCCAGGTCCTGAGAGGAGCGAGGTCACTTGGTGTTAGTAAAACACTTCACTCTCCTCATATACAACACTCTCTGCAGCTCAGGCAGCCACTGTCAGGGCAGAGGGTAGTGACAGATAAATGCCACAGAGCAATGAAACACTCACCTCCACATCTGCAACGGCGGGGTGACACCAATAATAAGAGTGTTATAGAAGGAGTTTCTGGTCCAAGAGGGAAAACTTTAATCTGATGCAAGTTGTAATCAACATGTAGTGCACTGAACACAGCCCCTGAGGGCAGAGTAGGACTTTCGAAAACTGTGTTACATTGAAGTATTTGAAAGGTCTGCTTATTTAAGCATTATTTTATTTTTCTTCTTATATGCACTCAACCGTCTTCTATTGAGTGTAAGTATAAACAGACAGAAGAAAATCTGTCTTTGAAGGTTTATTCACCAAGAAAAAGTTTTACTATTGAGTCTTAGTGATTAAAAGTATGGAGTGTGGAGTGGGAGCCCTGGAGTTTTAATCCTGATGGAAAACTTGCTTCTTTCCAGATCTCAGTGAGTTTCCATTTCATGTCAGGCCTCCTCCCCTCAAGCAGTTCGCCTGAATTATAGTATACAGCATTCTTAGCAAAGAGCCTAGCTCTTAATAATTACTCCAGGAATGAACAGTGATGGTAGATATCATGATTGCAAAGAGCAATGTCTATAAACAATACTGTAATAACAATAACAAAAGATAAGTAAATAGGTGCTGGTAAAACACACACACACACACACACACACACACACACACACACACACACACACACACACACTGGGAAACTATCCACTCACCAAAGCTGAGTGTTTGTGCAGTCTGTGGCTCAATAGGCTGGCTCTTAAGTGTCACATGTATTATTCATGGGATTTACATGTTATGTATATTACATCTACAAATAGATATCAACACTGCATGCATAATTCCCCAAAAGTACCAAAACGTTTATAATAGCACCAATTACATAAATACTGGAAAGACCCAGGTGCCGACTGATAATAGAATAGAAATAAATTGTAGGATTTATTCACAATTTAACTTATCCACAAATTTGAAGAAAGGTGATCCAGAAATGCATGAGGCATTGTGGAAGACATTTTGTACAACCAACTAGAAAGAGAACACCATGACTCCATGTGTGCAAAGCACAGACACAGGACAGACACGGCCTCTCTGTTGTTGGTACATACCAGCTCCCCTTGGGAGGGGTGGCATGGAGCAGGAGAGGCAGGCCCAGAAGAGCTGCTGATACTCCTGATGGGGGAGGGCAGGGTGGAAGCCTCATCCAGCTGTATGCACATCTTTTTTCTGCACGTGTATTCTACTTTGAAAAAATGTTTAGATAGAGCAACATACAGAGGGCGCTGTTGTTTTGTGAAAGGACAGGTAGTCAGGAAGCAGTTGTGTGGCTGCAAGGCTGAAGAGCCTCAACTTCCTCCGTGAGAATGCATGATTGTCACCAGCTTCTTGGGGTCTCACATAAAGTGAATGTCTGTGAACGCATCCACTCCTGCGGAATCCTGGTGGAAGATTCTGGAATATTACACCACCCCTGGGGATTCTCCAACGTTTTGACTGATAGGAGCATGTGCTGAACGTTGGACTTGCTATTATTAAAGGTCATCCTTAACGTAGCTTAAATTATCAGAAACTAAGAAGTGTCGCTCTTAAATCCCATCCCACTTAGCCCAAAATCACACCCGCAACAGAGCACCCCAGACAACACTGACCGGTACAGAAATGAAAAATACTTTCAAAAAGCGAACTTAGAGCTTGAGAGGGAAAGTATCTGAACACAGTTTTGAGATCACTGGACTTGTCCTTTGCAAATTCTCTCCTGTCCACATTATAGCTACAAGCAGCCTGGGTGTTTCATAATCCAGATGGACGGGTAGCCGTAATCTCTGAGCTGCCAATGATGATACAGATTTAAAACTCATCGTATCATTCGTGAAGCACTTTCAACCGTGAGGATGCCCTACCTGTTCATTTCACAGTCAGTTTTTACACAAAACCCTAACAAAAGGGCTGGCCTTTTTCTTCCTCACTGGTACAGCTCTAAAGCCATATGAGAGGGCAAAGGAAGTGAGGGGAAGGGGAGGGGTCTGTCTGGGAACATGTGGTTCCCAGAGTCAAGAGAAGGCACATTCACCCTGACAGTATCGGACAGGAAAAAGAAATAACTGGAAGTTGATAAATTGCACCTCCCCTAGAAAGGCCAGTGGATTTTAAGCATTGGCTGGAGAGAAAACCCACTGGAAATAGAAGACTTCAGAAGTATTTCAGTGGAATAATGCATGTGCACAATCAGTGAAATGAGGAGAAAAAAATGGTGTCTGTTTCCAAATTCTCATTTGGATGCTTAATATTAATATAATGAAATTAAAAATTCAAAAGAGCTATTATTCATGGTGAAGACTGACCTCTCAGTGTGTGTATGATGATGAGGACACAGGGTTCTCCTTGAAGGGGTAAGTGACTCCTGGCCAGCTCATCCGCACCCACACCACCAGGGTCAGCTCTACTGTGCTGCCCAGGCAAGGTGCTGTCTCTCGCCGGCGGCAGCACTCCAGAGAGTGTGCCCTACACCTCTCATGGGCAACACGGTAGAGCTTGCCCTGGACCCATGGGCGTGGGAGAGCCAGACCCAAGGTCATGAGAGCAGGAGAGCTGGCCCCACACCTTGCCAACTATACCACTAGGGAGAGCAGCGGATCCTGCTCGCTCTCCAGGGCAGTGCTGGGGACCTGGCCCTGGTGGTGTGGATGTGGGAGAGCTCGTCCTTGGCATGTGGATGGGAGAGCTGGCCCAGCCCCTAGGTTGGGGCTACACCTACAGCTACCCACGGGTGTAGGCGAGCCGGCAGGCTGACCAATTCATCTACCACCCAGGCACAGATCCAAAGCTTTGAGTTGGCCCACCCCAACATCTACCCCATCTAAAAACTGCTGGAGCATGTGAAGGGGCTGGTCGTGCAGAACCAAAGATGCAGATCTCCATAACACAGAACAACAGGATATCTAAGAGGAGTCCCAGTAAGAGCCCAGGATGGATAGTGTGGCAGAAGCCAGAGTCCTCGAACCAGACCAATGCTTCATTGCAATGAACATTCGCAAGTAAAGCTGTTTGGGCAAAAGGCCGACAGGACTGGACGACACCACGGCACACGGAAGCTTCCGTGCAGAGATGTTTTGTTGACGTTGTTTTTAATTTTCATTTTTACATCATTTTTGTTTTTTATTTTCTTTTGTGGAGGAGGTTGCAAGGGCAGAGGGGGGATGTGGAGGGATGGGGAGATGAGTGGGTTTGGGGTGCATGATATGAAATTCACAAAGAATCAATAAAAAGTTTAAAAATAAAAAACAAAAACAGCAAATGGCTTTGGTGAGCTGAACCAGCAGAATATTAGCAAACACACCCTAGTTGCCCTAGGTCTTTAGACGTGCCAATGCCCTCCTCAACCCCATTCCTGGCCACCTTCTTCTTTGTTCCTTAGAGGAAACCCTCTCCGTCCTAGGCTGCAGTTCTCCCAGCCGTTGTCCTGCATCATGTGGACATTTCTGGAAAAGAACAAGCTTAGAAGCCTAAATCAGGATTGAGTCCCTTCTATAGAAAAGTCATCCTTCACAGCTGGGTCCGACTGAGACTAAATAATAACAGGGAAGGGCAGTAGCAGTGGGCTTCGTTCCTACTCTTCACCACCACACATACCCTTCCTCTTCACTGCACATGTGACTCTAGAGCATGGAGAAGAGAAGGTGGTAGGAAGGAGCCCCTGTGATCTACTATTGGGAATGAGAGAAGCCAAAAGTTAGTTCATCGGCACGGCACCCTCGTGGGACTCTAAAGACCATTTCATCTGACTGGGCCCCTCACCCCCATCAGACAGGATCCTCCAAGCAGGATCCGCCAAAATAATCAGTCCAGTGAACTGTAGGTCTCATTACAGCTGACAGCAAGCAGACATCCCTCATCCTCTACTATAGTTTCGATCCTTTCTTCTTTCTCTGCCTGAGGGATGCTCTCACTCCATCTGTCTTTTAGCACTGACCCCGTGGCCATGATGAGCTGGGTAACACTCTTAAGGAGGGTGGTGTTTTGGCCGTTGCAGGTGTTAATTAACCAGACCAAGAGATGTTCTCCCAGTAGCGAGAACAAAAAGATCCTCTAGAGGGCAGAAGTTCCCCATGGTTGGAAATGGCCACCGTGGACTATCCCAGAAAAGCTGTCAATGTTTTCCAAATTCCTGGAGACAACTGATGCCCCCTCAGCCATTGGCCAGGAGGCACCACCCTTTCCCTCCTCTTCACACTCACTCAGTTTTTCCCAGAATCATCCCATCTTTTATTTGTAGGTTGGAAGAGAGAAATGAACAAGAGTGGCAATCCTGTACAAGTAGTCATTTCCATTTTATGACGTGGACATGTTTGGATATTTATTGCAAGAGAAGACACATTCATTTTGTGCACATTGTGAGGGTGTTGACTTTTAGGTTCAAGTGCATTATAAGTAATTAAAAAGAAACTAATATAACATTGACAAAAATGAACTGACTAAGGAAACATCATAAGCTTATGGGTTTCAGTAAAGTTATGTTTTGAGGAAGGACCCAAAGAGAAAAGGTCTGGAGAGGAGATGCATGCCCTTCTGGGAGGTTGTGATTTCACATAGCTTATAAGCACTTGAATGATTCTGACACCTTCCTGGTCTTGTCTCTGTTTGAATAAACAGAGTGCAGCAGCCAATGGTCAGGGAGAAAGAAGAATAGCATGACTTCTTTGTATTCTTTTTAGTCTATATTAACCACCTCCCAGAAGACACTTACGTATATAAATGCTTATAATTAATGGGTGCCTTGATTCTACTTCAAGATAGTAATGCTAAGCCAATGGAGAAAGAGCAAGGCACACAATCCAATAGTATTTTATTGTCAACAGCACAAAAAAACAAAACAAAAAAAAAATCAGCCACCATTGAACCTTCAGGAGAAAAAGAACCTTATTTAGAATAAATGGCAATGAATTGGAAAAGGGGAGGCATGTAAGAAAAACCACAGCAAATACTTCCTTCTGGGATGAATTGAAACATTAGGTTAGGTTGCCACATAAGTAACTTATCAGAACCATTTTATAATTTATTTGTGCAGATTACAAACTGCTTTATAATAGCTAGATCTGAAAAAAAAAACATATGCCAAAGCATGATGGGTACTTGAATAGTTTTGCTTGTGCTTTCTGAAGGTTTGGGATCCCTCCCCTTTTCCCACTGTCACATTAGACAAAGTCACGAGACTCTCTTTTCATCAAGAGAATCCCTGTAGACTTCAAGCCCTGTCAGCAATCACACCACCCAAATGACCAGGAGCACGGGCAGCTAGGAAAAACAAAAGCCGATTTTGTAAAAGCTGAGCTTCCCCCTAGGATCTTAGTCTTCAGCTAAAATGGGCCCAGAATTCTTTATCTAACACTCCAAGATCTAGAATGTTCTGCAGGGTGTTTCCATGTGCTGACAACTTACTCTTTTTTTTCTGAAAAAAAAAATGATCACTTGTGAACTATCTTTATGTACCTATTTTGTTTGAATAAAGTATTGGCTTACAGGGTAACATTCCAGACCCTATTTGTGGAGTTCCATAATATATACTATTTACAACATGTCATCTTTCTAAAGTCATTAAGACATTGAAAAAAGTGTTTCTCGGGGTTTTTTAACATGAAGACTTCTGGACCCACAGCATTGTGACGTGTACACAAATTTCATTGGAAAGGGGTATTCTTATGGGCCCCATATGCTAGAGTTTCTCAAGTCTTTAAAAGAGTGTAAATGTCTAAAACATTCTTTATCTCAGTGAAGAAAGGTGAAGTTCTGAGAATAATGTCTTCCACATCATCCTTACGGGAATTCCTGTGTGGGAGTCTGCATTTTTATCAATAGCTCCGGATGCTTTGACAAATGAAGAACACATATTTTCTGCTAAAGTGATTTCCCCTTCATTACAAGCATGTGCCATTTTATTTGACAAAGGAAAATAAAAAGGAATTGGAAAAGAAGTGTCTGTTAGTGTAAAGGCTGCGTATGACAAGTACCAGCCACTTCCTGATTCAGCAAAATTAACAATTTATTGTATAGAAAGTGGTTGTCTGCACACAAAGTTTACAGAGATCTGCAACCACAGACAAGTTACCTGAGACTTTGCAGGGCCTTGCCACTTAAGGAGAACAGAATTTGCCAAAGAAAATGATGTTTCGTGTTTTGTTGTGTCTAATGATGTAAATAAATGGGTGGTCAGCATTGAAGTCATCCTTGTGCTGCAAGATCCGGGATCCGGGCACCTCAATGGACTCGCCCCCATCTTCATTTATTTCTAGGCATACCCTGTGAATCACACTTGATAGGGCCACTCCCTTGGTCTCTGACATGCCAGAGAAGTCAGATGTATTTTCATTGAAGAGACTTTTCAGGCCCAGACTTTCCAGACTAGCCTTGGGATCAACTCTCTTCTCCACCTTAAACTTTGGGAGGGAGAGCTTGATTTTGGCGTTGGCCATGGTGCTGGGGTTGGTCCACTGCAACAGTGTTTCTGGGCTGAGTTGTTTTTCAATCTGAAGGACAAAACAGAAAAGAACTTAATTTATTTACTTCCAGTTGGAAATGGGGAAGATATAGAAAGATGATAGATAGATAGATAGATAGATAGATAGATAGATAGATAGATAGATAGATAGATAGATAGATAGATAGATCAAGCTTGATTAAAAACAGAAAGTGTTGCTCTAAGTCCAATTTTAAAGAATTTAAGTCAACTTTGGTTTGGAAATAGTCTAAGCAAGTTCCTCATGTAGGATCCACCAGCCACCCGATGCCTTCTCTTCCCCACCCCACAGAAAGACTCTCTTTTATTTACTTAAATTATAGAGTAGTTTTTTCAGAAACAGACACATAGATTATGATGCTACATACACCACAGTAAAGTGAATATAAAATTAGAAACTTTTGTATTGATCTGCTGACTGTTTGTTATCATTTCTTTACAAAGGAGTTCACATTATTCATAATCTAGGCATACCACCAAAGTTAGTTAAAAGCTACTCCTTTTCTTTTTATATGATGGGAACTCAGACTAGCTCTGATCTGCTCTTTAAGATCATAGGTGATGAGCACAACCATTTCGACTGGTTTAAAAGACAGATATACAACGAAGCATAAAATAACCTAGTTATAAAATTCTTCAGAGCAAATGAAGTTAAATTCCTTCTTGGACTTCTCACAAGCGCCACTAAGAATGACAGTCTCCTGCTACTAACATGGAACAATACCACCCCAGTGCCACTGGTGTGGATAAAAGCCAAGGACGTGGCAAGGTCACAAGTGGGTGCGAAGGCATTTTTAATAGAAAAGGAACAATTTATTCTCTTGTTAGTCTAAAACAATTACTTTTCAATTAATATTCTCACTTTCACTTAGAACAAATTACTAGAACCAAAAAAAAAATCACCATAGTTAACTAGTTTTGCAACTAATGGGCTTAATATCTGTCCGCTTCCCACTCGAGAATAGAGCACAGGCCAAGAACTCTTTTTCCTCTTGAGCTCAAACTCTTGGTTTTCATGGCAATGACTGATCATGTGGCCATCAAGTGGCCACTCACCTCTGTGACTCCCTTCCTCTTTGGTAAACAAGAGCATGGTACCAGTTTCTAATTCACAGGAATATTATACAAATTAAATAAGAAAATTATTTGAAGAATTTAGTGGCAACCTTGGCCCATTGTAAATGACAAACAAATGCTGGATGTTTTCACTTTAAAGAAGAGACACAGAGTGGATGTCAAACCCCTTGAAGATGACTGGGCTGGGGAGGGTGAGGCAAGGCTATGGCCAACTCCTCTGACCCCACAGGACTCCATCCTCTCGTTTCTGTCCTATGTGGGGTTCTCTTGTCTAAGTGCCCAGCTGCCTCCTGACCTTTTCTAGGCCTGTGGACTCGTCTTCCACATCCTTGGGGAGCACGATGAGCATACTGAGATGCTTATTCTGGAAGGGAAGTTCTATGATCTTAGCATTGATGTCATCAATGTTGCCCAAACAGAACGTGGCTTCAAGATTCATCATTTGTACCGGTTTGGTTTCTGTCTGTTAGAAGAAAACGTTTTGAAAGGGTTAATTTACAATTTATAAAAGAATACATAAATACATACATATATGCATATATATGCATCTATACAAATACATATGTACAAACATAGACACGGATTTAGATGATAGAGACAGAAATAATGATAGAAATGACAATAGTGATAGGAATATAAAAACTTCTCTTGTGGTTTTGGAGCAGTGTAGTTTAAGCACGCACACACACACACACACAGCAGGGGTGGGGGTGGGGGAGGAAATGTATAAAATTATTTTCAAACTATGTTTCTAATATGTATATGAAACATAAACAAATTTCTTAGATTTGGGTTCAACCCTCAAGATAATTCATTAAATAAGTGGAAATATTATAAAATCTGAAAAAAAAATTAAACCCAAAACCACTTCTTGTCTCAAGCATTTAGGAAAATATGTGCATAACTTGTAGATCTGTATATAATTTTTCAGAATATACATTACATTAAGCCCTTACTATAACTTGATCAGTGTAGTCTAGCCCTTAAAGGAGACACCAAGGGACATGAGAAACAGTTTAGCACCATCACTCAAAACATTCAGTGATTGACAAATGTGGTTCAAAGGACACAGGAGAGAAATAATAGGACCTGTATTCAAAAGGAGTGTGTTTCCCCCATGCAGCCAGAGTCACGTTTAACTGCATGTTGGGCAGATACTGAACTACCATGACATCAACCCTATAACTCTGCTCACAATCTAGGTTTCCGGGCTCTGATGTCACCTGGCTTTATGGCTTAATTGCAAGAATACAGGGAAAGCACACATTCTCCCTCTCTTTCAGAAACATGTTTTAGCACTTTCACAAATATAAAAAACTACAAATCTTAACATGATCAGAACCCAAGTCCGAGTTCCACCCATGGGCATTCCATGAAGTAACCCCAGGGAATTCACAAGAGACACCCTGAGCCATATGCTTGAGATTTCACTCATACCCTGGGACCCTTTGCCAGCTCTTCCCAGAAAGGAGTGTTAGCCATTAAAAAGAAATGAGCTGTGTTATCCTAGTCCGGTCCCTAGCAGTGGGTTAAGTGCAGTCAAAAAGCTCGGGGAGAGAAAGTGTAAGGAGAACCATCGGCCCCTCAACCAGCGCCCTGGGAGACGCTGAATCCATTAGGAGCGATAACAGCATTTCCCCTCCTGTGCAATCGCAGACTGTTGTGTCTTATCTGACAATGACCTCGGAGCTGGGGACTGCAGCTCAGTGCGTCAAATGCTTGTCTGGCATGCACAAAGCTCTGGTTTGAATCCCAAGTGTGGTGGTGCGTGCCTATAATCTCAGCACTGGAGAGGTAGAGACAGGAGAGTCAGAAGGCCAGAGTCATTTGGGGGTATGTTATAAGTTAGAGTCTAAACTGGGCTACATGAGATTGTCTCAAAAAAAAAAAAATGTAGGGCTGGCCTTTGAAAATTGATTGATTAAGCCAGACAGTGGTCGTGCACACCTTTAATCCCAGCACTTGGGAGGCAGAGCCAGGTGGATCTCTGTGAGTTCGAGGCCAGCCTGGACTACCAAGTAAGTTCCAGGAAAGGCGCAAAGCTACACAGAGAAACCCTGTCAAAAGAAAAAGAAAGAGAGAGAGAGAGAGAGAGAGAGAGAGAGAGA